GGGAAACCGGTTATTTTCATATAGTCGGACTTGAGTCCTGGAAATGGAAAGTACAATGCCTGCACTTTAAAGGAGTGGTTTGGGATATTGGCAGTTTGGAGGGATATGTTGTGTATCTTTATACGTATATGCTTCTAAACTGTTGTATTCTGGGCACCTCTGCAAAAGCAGTGATAATGTGCGAGTGTGGTGAAAGTGTTGAATGATGATGAAAGTATTTTCTTTTTGGGGATTTTCTTTCTTTTTTGGGTCACCCTGCCTTGGTGGGAGACGGCCGACTTGTTGAAAAAAAAAAAAAAAAATATATATATATTATAGTGGACCCCCGGTTAACGATATTTTTTCACTCCAGAAGTATGTTCAGGTGCCAGTACTGACCGAATTTGTTCCCATAAGGAATATTGTGAAGTAGATTAGTCCATTTCAGACCCCCAAACATACACGTACAAACGCACTTACATAAATACACTTACATAATTGGTCGCATTCGGAGGTGATCATTATGCGGGGGTCCACTGTATATACTATATGGGAGCAAGGGGCTGGTAACCCCTTCTCCTGTACAAATTACTAAATTTAAAAAGAAAAACTTTCATTTTTCTTTTTGGGCCACTCTGCCTTGGTCGTCCTCGAAAAGGTTGGAGGGAGGGGGTAAAGGAGGTTTTGTGGGCGAGGGGCTTGGACTTCCAGCAAGCATGCGTGAGCGTGTTAGATAGGAGTGAATGGAAACGAATGGTATTTGGGACCTGACGAGCTGTTGGAGTGTGAGCAGGGTAATATTTAGTGAAGGGATTCAGGGAAACTGGTTATTTTTATATAGCCGGACTTGAGTCCTAGAAATGGGAAGTACAATGCCTGCACTTTAAAGGAGGGGTTTGGGATATTGGCAGTTTGGAAGAATATGTTGTGTATCTTTATACGTATATGCTTCTAAACTGTTGTGTTCTGAGCACCTCTGCAAAAACAGTGATTATGTGTGAGTGTGGTGAAAGTGTTGAATGATGATGAAAGTATTTTCCTTTTGGGGATTTTCTTTCTTTTTGGGTCACCCTGCCTCAGTGGGAGACGGCCGATTTGTTAAATAAATAAATATATATATATATATATATATATATATATATATAATATATATATATATATATATAATATATATATATATATATATATATATATATATATATATATATATATATATATATATATATATATATATATATATATATATATATATATATATATATATATGAAGTAGTTTATTAGATTATGTATTGGTGGATAAAAGGTTGATGGGTAGGCTCCAGGATGTACATGTTTATAGAGGGGCAACTGATATATCGGATCATTATTTACTTGTAGCTACAGTTAGAGTAAGAGGTAGATGGGAAAAGAGGAAGGTGGCAACAACAAGTAAGAGGGAGGTGAAAGTGTATAAACTAAGGGAGGAGGAAGTTCGGGTGAGATATAAGCGACTATTGGCAGAAAGGTGGGCTAGTGCAAAGATGATTAGTGGGGGGGTTGAAGAGGGTTGGAACAGTTTTAACACTTTGAGGGTTTCGGACGTACTAGTACGGCTTATGACCCAGGGTTTTTGACGTACTAGTACACCTAAATTCTAGCGCCCTCAAATCTAGTGGGAGAAAGCTGGTAGGCCTTCATATGAAAGAATGGGTCTATGTGGTCAAGTGTGCACAGTCTAAAAAAAAATCCTGCAGCACACAGTGCATAATGAGAAAAAAAAACTTTGACCATTTTTTTGGAATAAAACAGCGACTTTGCACTGTATTTTCGTATGGTATTTATTGGGTTGAAGGGTGAAATACACAAAAGGGTTGGAGGCAGGGGGAAGCCAAGGGGTTTGGGGAAAAATTTACAAAAATTCGGGGGGGAAATTGGGAAAAAGGGGGGGGTTTTTTTAATAAAAGTTTTGTAGGGGCAAAGGGGGGTTATTTTTCTTTTAAAAGGGTTTAAAAAAAAAAATTTAAACAAAAAAAATTTAAGGGGGGGGGAGGGGGTTAAAAATTGGGGAAAAAGGGGGTTTTTTTTTTGGGAAGGGGGGATTTCCCAAAGGTTGGGTTTAAATGGGGGGGGAAAAAAGGGATTAAAGACAATTTTGGGTTACATAAAAATTTAAAAGGGATTCGGGAAACCGGTTTTTTTTCACAATTTGCCCTTATTAAAAATTCATTTTAAAGGGGGGTTTTTAAAATTTTTTTAATATTTTGGATTTTTTTTAAATGAAAACGGAGGGGCCCCCGGGAAAAACGTGTAAGGGCGAGGGGAAAGTTTTTATAAAAAATTTTTTTTTGGGGGGGATTTTTTTTGGGATCCCCCGGGGGGAAGGGACTTTTAAAAAAAAAAATTTAATTTACACTTAAATATTTAATTAAAAATTTTTAAATTTAATATATAAAAAATATTAAAAAATTTTTTTTTGGGTTACATTTTTAGGGGGGCCCGAAATGGTCAAAAATTGAGCAATTGAAAGAGTTTTGGAAAAGAGAAGTGGCAACAAAATAAAAGGGGGGGGTTATAAATGGGAAAAAGTTCTTTTTATAAGGAAAATTAAAAGGGGGGCTGGAAAAAATTTAAGGGGGGGGGAAAAAAGGGGGGTTTAAAAAATAGATGTGGGGCAGAAGTTGGGGTTTTGGGGGGGGGGCAGGAGAAAAGGAGTGTTGGGGGAATGATGAAGTAAAGGGTGTATAAAAAAAAAAGGTACTTTTGAGAGGGTTTTTTCAAAGCAAAGTGTATAAAAAAAGCAATTATGGAAGAAAAAAATAAAGAGAGGGTGAGAGATCAAAAAGGGGGCAGAGAAGAGTGGGAGAGGCACTGTCAAAAATTTTTAAAGAAAAAAGAAAAAAATTTTGGAGGATTAAACAAGTAAAAAACCTAGGGAAATATGGATTTGTCATTAAAAAAAAGAGTAGGGGGGTTAGTAGATGGGGAGATGGGGGTATTGGGAGATGGGGGAAATTTTGAGGAACTTTTTAAAATTTTAAGAAGAAACAAGGGATAATTTTTATGCCTGGCAGGGGGGTATACCATCTTTTAGGAGTAAAAAGACAGAAAGTAAAGTTTGGGGGAGGGACGTGAGGCAAAACGTAAAATGAAAGGGGGTAAAGCACGGAAAGATGGGATCATGACAAAATGTTAAAAGCAGGGGGGATATAGGTTTGGGTGGTTGTACTTTTTTTAATAAATTATGAAAGAGGGAAGGACCTAGGGGTTGGGAAGAGCATGTATACCCTTTATATAAAGGGAAAAGGGGGCAAAAGAACGTAAAAATTAAGAGGAAAAAAGTTCTAGTATACCAGAAAAATGTACGGTAGGGGTTTTAATTGAAAGAATTAAGGTAAGACAGAATGTAGATTGCGGATGACAAGGAGGTTTAGAGTGGGGGAGGGGGTGTGAGATCAGTGTTTTTCATTGAAGCATATATGTAACGTATTTGTAAAGGTAGGGAGTTTTATGCATTTTGGTTTAGAAAAGGCAATATAGAGTGGATAGAGGACAATGTGCAGATGTTGCAAATAGGAAAAGGGGTAATTATTAATCTGAAAGAGTTTTTATGGGATATGAGGGCCCGTTTGGGGGGTAGAAGAGAGGGGGGCCTACTTCCCCGGGAAAAGTAGGCTTAGACAGGGGGTGTAATGTCACCATGTTTTTTTAAAAATTTATAGATGGGGTTGTAAAAATAAATGCAGGGTGTTTGGGAGAGGGGTGGGATTAAATTATGGGGAATCAAATTCAAAATGGGAATTGACACAGTTACTTTTTGCTGATGATACTGTGCTTATGGGAGATTCTAAAGAAAAATTGCAAAGGTTAGTGGATGAGTTTGGGAATGTGTGTAAAGGTAGAAAGTTGAAAGTGAACATAGAAAAGAGTAAGGTGATGAGGGTGTCAAATGATTTAGATAAAGAAAAATTGGATATCAAATTGGGGAGGAGGAGTATGGAAGAAGTGAATGTTTTCAGATACTTGGGAGTTGACGTGTCGGCGGATGGATTTATGAAGGATGAGGTTAATCATAGAATTGATGAGGGAAAAAAGGTGAGTGGTGCGTTGAGGTATATGTGGAGTCAAAAAACGTTATCTATGGAGGCAAAGAAGGAAATGTATGAAAGTATAGTAGTACCAACACTCTTATATGGGTGTGAAGCTTGGGTGTAAATGCAGCAGCAAGGAGACGGTTGGAGGCAGCGGAGATGTCCTGTCTAAGGGCAATGTGTGGTGTAAATATTATGCAAAAAATTCGGAGTGTGGAAATTAGGAGAAGGTGTGGAGTTAATAAAAGTATTAGTCAGAGGGCAGAAGAGGGGTTGTTGAGGTGGTTTGGTCATTTAGAGAGAATGGATCACAGTAGAATGACATGGAAAGCATATAAATCTATAGGGGAAGGAAGGCGGGGTAGGGGTCGTCCTCGAAAGGGTTGGAGAGAGGGGGTAAAGGAGGTTTTGTGGGTAAGGGGCTTGGATTTCCAGCAAGCGTGCGTGAGCGTGTTAGATAGGAGTGAATGGAGACGAATGGTACTTGGGACCTGACGATCTGTTGGAGTGTGAGCAGGGTAATATTTAGTGAAGGGATTCAGGGAAACCGGTTATTTTCATATAGTCGGACTTGAGTCCTGGAAATGGGAAGTACAATGCCTGCACTTTAAAGGAGGGGTTTGGGATATTGGCATTTTGGAGGGATATGTTGTGTATCTTTTATTGTGTATGCTTCTAGACTGTTGTATTCTGAGCACCTCTGCAAAAACAGTGATAATGTGCGAGTGTGGTGAAAGTGTTGAATGATGATGAAAGTATTTTCTTTTTGGGGATTTTCTTTCTTTTTTGGGTCACCCTGCCTCGGTGGGAGACGGCCGACTTGTTGAAAAAAAAAAAAAAAAAAAAAAAAAAAAAAAAATATATATAATATATATATATTATATATATATATATATATATATATATATATATATATATATATATATATATTATATATATATACACACACACACACACGCGCGAACATATACATATATATACATACGTTACATACATACATAAATACATACAATATATTCTCCAAAGCTAACATTACAGCTTGAACTTGTATATTGATTCTAAGACATTCTAAATAAATACACATATTTCTTTGCTTTCTATTCTTTAGACTCTGCTTTAGTTGCTTGAGTGGAAGAGTTTGTATCAGTGGCCCCTGCCATGGCAGCAGCTGGTGCTGGCTCAGCCTTTGGGAAGTCTCCTGAGTTAGTCTCCTCGATAGCTTTCCGCAGCTGTTGAAGAAGGGATAAAATGTTTGAGAATGTGTTAAAAGTATCAAAGTAACATTAAGAGCCAGATATTATAATTAAAAGTCATTATGTAGTTTGTAAATTGTGTAAACAGTGACTTTCACAAATACTACGAATACAGTAACAAGATTAAAGATATATTAGTAAAATTAATAAAATGAAACTTTGAAAGAAGACAAGATAATCTTTAAAGTGTAAAAAACAAAGAATAAACTGCCACAAAACAAAATTAGTAATTTAAAAAGTTAATTGCTAAACCTAAATGCAAAATAATTTGATAAAATGAAATACATTGCAAATACTTATATTCTACTAATTACAAACATACAATCATGCAGGTGCCACACAACTAATACTACAAACATGTAGAGCAACTCACTAAACACTTGTATAGTGATACACTAATAAGGTTTAAAACAGGGAGGGATTCTTTAAATGCAAACATATAACTGAATAGTTGAAGCAATCCATGCAGGTAGATGACTGACATGATCCCTGGCACAAACAAAGGTCCACCATAACTAAACAGGAAACAGGGATTTCGTTTATTTGTGAGAAAAATGCCTTGAAGGTGGTAAGAGACTCTTGGTTAAAGAAACTGAATCTACTCCTTCCTTGCAACAAACCTGGTTATCTTTCCTTCTACAGGTGCTGTATCATCCTACAAGTTTAGTCTTTCAAAATAATTAACATAATGTATGACAAAACTTTAGGTAGAAGACTGCCTTTCATTAACACTTAACTTACCAGAAACTTTACAATTAGTGAATAGAGATTTAGAAAACCAACAAGTTGACAGGTGAGACAAAACGTTTTGCAAAACATTTCCTGAATAAAGATACCTAAGTGTTACACAGGTGTTTCATTTATCAACTCTGCAATAAGTATATTATGCAAATTTTTTTAGCATGTCTATATATAATAGCCACATAAATGTCCTTTAAGCTCCTACAAAAACAAATAATGCAATAATTTAGTATTAGATTAGAAATGGCTAAAGATATCTCAAAGATAGATGATCATTTAAAAGTTGCATACAAACATTTATAACCAACACATAACATGATAAAGGCAAAACCAGTGATTTCAATAAACCATTGCAGTATTTGTAGGGCAGTAAAATCATGAAGATGAAAATATTTGATGTTAAAAATAAAAGTAAGTTGGTTAGAGGTGTACAGTAGTGTTTCATAGGATGGCAAACTTTCATGGGTCACAAGGCAGGAAATTTATCAATTGCAAACATTGCAAATGTAGCATTTATTTCAACTTCAAAAGAATCTATCAATAAACCTTTCTTCGTATTGTTGATCTCAAAAACCTCTCCCTGAAAGAGCCCCCAACACCCTTATCTCTTCTGGGTCTGAAGTCACCAGAATTCGTTGATTCAACAGCTTTTCTCAACTGGAAGGTAAGTGGTGTGGACAGTATATCATGATATAAAGTACAATATAGAGCTTGCCAACTTGGTATATTTAGCAATGTTTGTTTTACCAAATAGGTGAGATTAATTTTTGTTATAGCGTAAAAGAATGAATATCACGTAGTATAATGCAGTATAACCTCTCCTCACTTAACGACGGAGTTACATTCCTAAGACCATGTCGGTAAAAAAATTCGTTGCTAAGTTAGGAGCATACTATAATGGTGGTGGGTTTGTGTCAACTATCTTTAATATTGTTTTAATGTCACCTTTGCACCATTTATAACATTTCTGGTATATTTTTAAAATGTTTATAAAGTAGTGTACTGTATATTGTAATAAATAGAAAAGAGGAAATCAGCTCTAATATACATTATTTAGGTATGCATACTGGTCAGAAAGAACGTTGTAAGTCTGAGGCATCAATAAATGAGTATGTCGCTAAGTGAGTAGAGGCTAAATTTAAAATATGAAATGGCCCAAAACACAAAAGAGGGTTGAGAAAAATGTACAAAACAAGTCACTAGGGAGAAAGCAGGAGAAGGAGCAAGATTTTTAAAAACTCATTTGAGAGATATACAGGTCTCCCTCAACATTCGCGAGGGTTAGGGGATCAAGAACCTCATGAATGTTGAAAAATCGCAAATGTTTGGTGCCCCTATATATTGTAGGGAAGTGTAATACAATACTGCTTTCTTAACTTATTGAACCATAAACAATCATAAAACACATGAAAACATCCTAAAATACTGTACTAGTGCCAGCCCTTTGGTAAAGGTGAGAAAAACTATAGAATTCAAGAAAGAACTTGTAGCAGAGTATCAAAGTGGAGAAGGAAGAGAGTGGGGAGAATGTGCCTTCTTCAGTGATTCTATGATATGTATGATACTGAAGCTGCACAAGTCAATAAAGGCTATAGCGCCGTCAGCGATAAAGTGTAGCAAGTAAGTTAAGCGATTAATTGATAGAAAAAGGACAGCACGAACCTAACTCCTTCATTGTTGTTGGAGTTATATAGAGCAACTGACAACACCGCCGTCTCTAGTCTCTACTGCATCTGCTGCTGCCTCCACTACCACTATGTAAGGCTTATGTCTCAGTGGCCCTTATACACCCAACAACAACAACAACACAGCAACACTCGTGATATACTTAATGATGTATTTTATTCATTCTAGAGTATATGTCATGTTTCTATGTTATTAATATTGTTTATTATGTCATATTAGATGAATTGTGATAGATAAATAAGCCGTAGAGTTGATATTAGTGTCATACTGAAGGACTATCTTGTCCTATCTCCAAACAAACTCTGCTACCGCCACATTTCCTAACATATGTAATGACATCTTTTAAATACAAGTGGGCGGCTAGGAATTCGCGAATGTTCGAAGCCCGCGAAAGTGGAAAATGTGAATGTTGAGGGAGACCTGTATAGGATATAAACACTCTTAAGAGTTAAATGCAAGAAATAACTATATACTTCACTGCAGCGTTACCTAGTACAGAAGCAAAAAAAAAAAAAAAAAAAAAAAAAAAAATTCCTGCATTAATCAGAAGTTTTAAACCATTAGGAAAAATATATTTAATGGAAGAAAATATAAAAAAGCACCATTAAAAAACATGAAAAAGATTAGAAATCTTAGTATGAAAACTACACCCATAATTCTGACTAAAAACCTAACAAACTTGAGAAAATAAGATATTATTAACCCCTTAACTGTCCAAACGTAGATCTATGTTGTTACCGCTAACGCTCCAAACGTAGATCAACATTTTATTTTTCCTGCCTCCAAATTAGGCACGATTGGTCTGAGATGCTTGGTCAGTATAGAACAGGGTTTAACACTCAGTGTGTGCAGTTAAAAAAAAATCTGGGGCCACCAGTTCAATTGAATGCCAGCTGAAGCAAACAGAGTGGCAAATACCAGGGATTCACTAATGACATGTTATATTAACACTCCCCTTTTAAGAGGAAAGTGATGCTGACCCTGAATTTAGTGGCTTTGAGATGGATGTGGCCACAAGTGGTCGAGGAAATATCAAAACCTCGATAATAACCCATGTACAACATACTTTCAATTTGATACCATTGGTAGTGTCATCCTGTCAGAATGTCCTATAACCTATGCCCTAAGTAAAGAGAAACAATTCTGGAACATGTACAATATGTGTTCAGCAGGCTGGGTGGGTGACTGATTGACTTTGGCTGTCTCTATCTGTCTATATCTATCTCTGTCTCTATCTCACAGGTACACATAAATACAATTATAGATACTGTAAATTACCAAGGATAACCCAAAAAATCCAGACAAAGTGCAATATTGTGCTTGTAGATATAAAACATAATAAGCATGACTGGCAAGTAATGTGCATTTTCACTTGTTCAGGAATAAGATGTGACAACTCTGCATTACTGTGTAATACCTGTTGGTCCATAGGTGCTCTCTCTGTTAGAGAGGGGAGAGGAGAGAGAGAGGGGAGAGATGGAGATGAGAGAGAGAGAGGTGAGAAGCAGAGGAGGAGAGAGCAGAGAGAGAGAGGAGGCAGAGAGAGAAGAGCAGAGAGAAGGGAAACAGAGGAAAGACAGATAAGCGAGACAGAGCTAGACAAACAGACGACAAAACAGACAGACAGAATTTATGTGAACATAAAAAAATAAAGCAAGGCAGTGCATGATTAAGTGTCACTCCACTGCTGCACTGTCAGCAGTAGTGACACTCGTCTTACAAAGTGCTTCAAAGAGTTTCTTATATACTTCAGCATGTCTTAAAACATTGCTGGGACCTATAAATACTTTGTATATATTTCTAGACAATAGTACATGACCAAGGCAGGTGAAAATGTTCACCTGTCAATGTATTTGTGACCGAGTACTATTTCAGTATGTACCTAATATTAGCATCAGAACAAAGATTACCTGGAGTTTACCTGGAGAGAGTTCCGGGGGTCAACGCCCCCGCGGCCCGGTCTGTGACCAGGCCTCCTTAGGTCAGTGTCCCGGGATGCGACCCACACCAGTCGACTAACACTCAGGTACCCATTTTACTGATGGGGAACATAGACAACAGGTGGAAAGAAACACGTCCAATGTTTCTACTCTGGCTGGGAATCGAACCCAGGCCCTCACCGTGTGAAGCGAGAGCGTTAACCACCAGGCCACCAGAGCCACCCCAGGCCACCAGAGCCACGATTGGCTATGAAATCACAAGATCTACTACAAATTGTAATTATCAGACATAAAAATTATATAAATTAAAAAAAGAGAAAAAACAAGGTAGTATATCAGCAACATTTCTGCAAGCGGCAGGACTCTGTGTTGCCATCAGGTGAGTATCCTGCACCAACTTTGCAGTCTTATACTATCTTGGTAAGTACTGACCCTAAATTTTTTTTATCCTATTACGTGTAGAAAAATGCCTTCTCTATTTAACCCGTCAACGGTCCAAACGTATACATACATTCACTACCCCAGTGCCCCGAATATTTTGAAAAATAAAAAAAATAATTTTTTTAATGAAAATAAAGAGCACAGTTTTTTAAGTGTTAAAGGATTAAAATAAAAAAAATTAGGGTCAGTACTTACCAAGATATGAGGCTGCAAAGTTGGCACTTAATGCTCACCTGACGGCAACACAGAGTCCTGCCGCTTGCAGAAGTGTTGCCGATATACCATTTTTCTCATTTTTATATTATTTTATATAATTTTTATGTTCTGATAATTACAATTTATTGTAGTTCTTGTATTTCAATAACCAATCTTTGTTTGACAGTAAATATTGGTACTGAAATTGTCACTTAATTGTCACAAACACATTGCCAGGTGGATTTACACCTGCTTTGTCATTTACTTTATTGTCTATGAATTTATACAAATTTATTTATGGTCCCAGCAATTGTTCTGGATAAATGGGAGTATAAAAGAAGAAGAAGAAGGAAGGATGAGGAAGAAGAAGGAAGAAGTTCCCTGAAGCAATGTGTAAGACAAATGTTCAGTAACAAGCATCCAGGAGGGCAGTGATAAGATGAGATATGAGATGACATTTGATGGGTCCAGCAAGGGTGCAGAGATAAGACAAGATAAGCTATGACATTTGATGGGCACCAGCGAGGGTGCAGAGATAAGGGATGACATTTGATGGGCACCAGCGAGGGTGCAGAGATAAGGGATGACATTTGATGGGCACCAGCGAGGGTGCAGAGATAAGGGATGACATTTGATGGGCACCAGCGAGGGTGCAGAGATAAGGGATGACATTTGATGAGCTCGTATCTCTGATTATCTGTCTCTCTGTCTTATCTCTGTTTGTGTGTCTCTTTCCGTCTCTCTGCTTGTCTCTCTGTCTCAAACAGAACCACTATGAACCAACAGGTATTCTTATGCATTACATCTACAAGCACAGTATAACACTTTGGATTTTTTAGGTTATCCTAGGTAATTTACACTATGTATAATTGTATTTGTGTGTACCTGTGAGACAGATAGACAGAGAACGAGATAGACAGAAATAGACACAGACAGACCCTAAACTTGGGGTTAACATCACTTTCCTCTTAAAAGGAGAGTGTTAATATGACATTACATCAGTGAATCCTTGGTGTTTGCCGCACTGTTTGCTCTAGCTGGCGCTCAATATAACTGGCGCTCCCACAAGGTACTAAGTGGTCTCAGATTGTTTTAATATGGTGCACACCAAGTGTTAAGACCCATTCTATACTGACATGGCATCTCAGGCCAATCGTGCCAAATTTGGAGGCAGGAAAAATAAAATGTATATATACGTTTGGGGCGCTAGCAGTAAGAACATATATATTACATTTGGACCATTTACGGGTTAAAAATAAAAAAGATTTTTTTTTTTAAATATTCGGAGCACTGAGCGAGAGAATGTAGATCTACGTTTGGACAGTTAAGGGGTTAATATTCACATTAAATTAAATTAAGAAACTATTAAATTAAAAAACTAACCTCCTTTAGAGCCACAACACCTATGATTCTACCGATGGCTGTTACGTATGCATGGTTGAGACCCAACATGGAAAACAAGGAGTGCACCTGTGGGAATAATGAAAATGTTGAATAAAATGCTATTAATGCTGCTAAGTGAATGTAGTATAGAAGATGCAAGATTTACAAAGTGCTCTCACCTTTGAAATCATTTAGTGCTTGTGACAATGAAAAGGTATACTATACTCTACATACTAACACTGGAAGCCAGAATTAAAACACAAAAATAAAGTGCCCAAATCAAGGACCCTTCAAGTAGGGTGTCTTGATGCTGGTGAAGGGCTCTTATTCCATGGAATTAAAACTACCCTCCCTTTTTTTATTATCTAACCTAATAACTTCCCATTCTCCAGGTGTTGTATGTCCCCATGCATTTTAATATTTTTTTTTTTTTTAACAAGTCAGCCGTCTCCCACCGAGGCAGGGTGACCCCAAAAAAAAAGAAAGAAAATCCCCAAAAAGAAAATACTTTCATCATCATTCAACTCTTTCGCCTCACTCACACATAATCACTGTTTTTGCAGAGGTGCCCAGAATACAACAGTTTAGAGGTATATACGTATAAAGATACACAATATAACCCTCCAAACTGCCAATAGCCCAAACCCCTCCTTTAGGGTGCAGGCATTGTACTTCCCATTTCCAGGACTCAAGTCTGGCTATATAAAAATAACCGGTTTCCCTGAATCCCTTCACTAAATATTACCCTGCTCACACTCCAACAGATCGTCAGGTCCCAAATACCATTCGTCTCCATTCACTCCTATTGAACACGCTCACGCACGCCTGCTGGAAGTCCAAGCCCCTCACCCACAAAACCTCCCTTACCCCTTCCTTCCAACCTTTTCGTGGATGACCCCTACCCCGCCTTCCTTCCCCTACAGATTTAAATGCTCTCCATGTCATTCTACTTTGATACATTCTTTCTAAATGACCAAAACCACCTCAACCACCCCTCTTCAGCCCTCTGACTAATACTTTTATTAACTCCACACCTTCTCCTAATTTCCACACTCCGAATTTTCTGCATAATATTTACACCACACATATGGCAATATATAAAAAGTAACCATAATATACATTTTTCATTTTCTTTGAGATAATTAATATTAATTTTTATTGCATAAAACTTTTGAAAACAAAGATGTGATTATTACATTTAAAAAGGTATGGCCCAAGTGAAATAAATGTGTTCAACATCTAAAAAGACCAGTAGATAACGTCCTATATTCTAACAACCATTAAGATGTAATAATGGCATACTGCATATAATCAAATGGGATGAAACACATAGCAAGTAATGCCATTACTGAACAATGTTTGTGTAGTTGTGAATATTAAGAACCTGATAAAATCCATAGCTGATCAAAATGTTTCCTCAATGAAAACATTAGCTACATTTATGAAATAACTTTGTTAACATCATAAACATTTACCTTAAGTAGTGAAGTTCTTTCTACAAGTTGAAATGGTGCAGGATCAATATGGCACTTGCTAAAGTCTACCTCCTTATTAAGTTCCTCCTCCTCCCACTTCCGCTGCTGTTCAAGGGTCATTGCAACCATTCGTTCCATTGGCTATATGTTGACACAAATTTAAGATATTTTCAGAGAAACAGAATGGGACATCACAAATCTCTATCACTATACAGTGGCCGCAAAAAAAAAAAATTATACATTTCCAATGCAAAAAAATCTATACACTAGATTTTGGTGTGTACATTTCATTTGAATTTAAACTATAAGAAAAGTAGTAGGAGGAGCTTGTGATAGCTTAGTGTACTGGAGCCCATCTTGCTCCAACGTTCCCCACCACCCCACACTTCAGTGCTTTTCCAGAGCTCAATGATGGAGGAGGAGTGTTATGCTGTTACTCACTACCTATTTTTTCACTCGACCACGAACTTTGCCACTCTATATCTCTGCTCCAAGTGGTCAGAATGGGTCAAACTAAACTTTCAATTATAGAAAGACTCGTGCACTCACCCTATTAGAGCGAGGCATGTCTGTGATATGCGTAGCTGCAGACCTGAAGGTGACTCGGATGGCAATTTACAATCTCAAGAAAACAACTGCCTCACTTCCACCTGGCACCGTACCACCTAGGAAAGTGGGGTCTGGGGCCCCCTAAAAGACTTCTCTTCGCATAGACAAGATCCTGAAGAGGGAAGTGTTATCAGATCCTGCCATAACAGGTGCAGACCTCAATAAAAAGCATCCTGCACTCCTGAAAGATGTCACAGAGCGAACCATTCGGCATCGACTGCAAAAGGACCTGACAATGCCTGCTCAACGTGCAGCCAAGAAGCCCATGCTAACTGAAACCATGAAGAGGAAACAGCTTCAGTCATGCACGAAGTACAAGGATTGGACCTCAGACCAGTGGCAGAAGGTGATGTTCAGTGATGAGAGTACCTTCAGGCTCGTCAGGAGCAGCTTTAAGACTGTCCATTGTCCCAGTGGTGTGTCCCGTTATGACCCACAGTATGCCATGAAGATAGCGAAGCACCCTGACAGTGTTATGGTCTAGGGTGCTTTTAGTGGTTATAAGGGCAGAGGTGGACTGTACTTTCTTCCTAAGAACATTACTATGAAGGGAAGTAATTATATCAAGGTGTTAAGGGACCACATGCTGGCATTTTGGAACATTCACAAGTGTGATTTCTTTATTCGTGATGATGCCCCTGCCCATAAGTCAAAAGGAGTGAAAAAGTTCCTTGAGGACAATAATATCAGTGTTTTGGAGTGGCCAAGCAATTTCCCTGACCTAAATCCTATCGAAAATACCTGGCATGTGATGAAGATTGAGATTGCAAGAGCTTGACCCACCAACATCACAGACCTGAAGAGGCACTGAAAAAGCACTGGATCAACATGGATGCCTCCTTCTCTACCCTCGCCACTTCGATGCCCAGGCGACTTCAGATGGTGATAATGAACAATGGTAACATGACCAAGTACAGTGGGCCCCCAGTTTTCGTAATTAATTCTGAATTAATTTTCCCCATAAGAAATAATGGAAATCCATTTAATCCATTTCAGACACCCAAAAGTATTAAAAAAATGTTTCCTACATGAAATATACATTTATCTACACAGAAAACATGAGGAATAAAACAATAATAACATCACACTTACCTTTATTGTATGAAAGACGGGGGGAGGGGAGAAGATGGAGTTTACAATTGTTTGGAAGGAAAATCCCCTTCCATAAAGACTTCAGGTACCAAGTCCTTACCCTGGGTTACTTCTTCTAATTTGTTTTTTAATGCCACTAGGACCAGCTTGAGAATCACTGGACTCCTGTCGCTCAAAAAAGTGTTCCAGAAAGTTCTGTTTCTGGCGTATGTTAGGAATTGTGTTGGGAGACAGGACAAGATAGTCCTTCAAAATGACACTAATATCAGCTCTACAGCTTATTTATCAAGCACAATTCATCTAATATGACATAATAAACAATATTAATAGCACAGAAACATGATATGTACTCTAGAATGAATAAAATATAGCATTAAGAATGTCACGAGTGGTGGTGTGTTGTGCGTTGTTGGGTGTATAAGAGCCACTGAAAGATAAGCCTTATATAGTGGTGGTGAAGGTGGCAGCAAAGACAGTGGTGTTAGTCAGTTCCCCTATATACCTCCAACAACAATGGAGGAGTCAGTTTCGTGCTGTCCTTTTTTTGTTGATTAATCACTTAACTTACTTGCTACACTGTTAATGCTACACTTTATCGCTGGCTGGCACTATATTCTTTATCAATTCCTGCTGCTTTAGTATCGTACATATTGCAGAATCACTGAAAAAGGCACATTCTCCCCCCTCTCTCTCAGCCCTTTACCAAAGGGCTGGCTGGCACTAGGAACTTTCTTTGGGCCCATGGTGGCTTATTTAGCAGTTGAAAGCATAAAAAGAATGGAATAATACAAAATATATACAGTAGGGCCCCACTTATACGGCGGTTAGGTTCCAGGCTGTCGCCGGAAAGCAGACATTGCCGGAAGGCAGAACACCATCTTTTTCCATTTATAAATGCATATAAATGCCAGAAAACAAGTATACACTAAATTATATTAAGTTAGTAATAGAACCAGACATTAAAAACACACAAAGTAAGATACATTCACAGTAAATTCATTACTTATCTTAAAGTATTTGTAATCGTAATGTAGGGAGAGAGGTGAGTAGTACTTACTTGTAGGAAGTCAGTTGCAGGTAGCCCAGGTGTAGGTAGCCCTGGCTCCCAGTCTCATACTTAATATACGATATTTAAAACATCCCAGAGAGGTAAAATACACATACAGTACACTCGTTATTTACCTTAAAATATGTGTAGTCTTAATATAGGAAGAGAGGTGAGTAGTATTTATTTGTAGGAAGTCAGTGTAGGTAGCCGGTTAGGTGTAGCCCCGCCTGGGCTACACCTACCGGCTACATACACTGTGGCCCAGAGCCATATTATTAACATCAACATGCCTTGTTCACTGAATTTAATCATTTCTAACAACTACCTTTAGATGCCATCATAAATGAAGGTAGAAGTAATGAATAATTCATGCCGAAAATTGTAAACAAAAGCGGAGTGGGGGAGTGGCTGGGCCAAACGCATATTCATACACGTTTTCTCTGATGGCTGAGCAGAGAAAACGTAATGTTGTTCCTCCACCCGGCTACCACACAGGTCCACAAGTATTATTATCAAAGCATATAAAATATGCAATAAATGCCAGACAACAAGTTTACACTAACTTATATTAAGTTAGCAATAGAAATAGGCATTAAAAACACAATAAAAGGTAAGATACACACAGAGTACACTTACTACTTACCTTAAAATATTAATATTAATGTGTGAGAGGTGAGTGGCAGGGTGTTTATTGAATAAAATCAGAATGGCACACCATCATCCTCTAACTTGGCACTTAACCCTTTGACTGTTTACGCCGTATAAATACGTCTTACGCGCCACTGTTTCTGACGTATATATACTCAATAATTCTAGCGGCTTCAAATCAAGCGGGAGAAAGCTGGTCGGCCCACATGTGAGAGAATGGGTCTGTGTGGTCAGTGTGCACCACATAAAAAAAATCCTGCAGCACACAGTGCGTAATGAGAAAAAAAAACTGATCGTTTTTTTGGATTAAATCACCGATTTTGAGGTGTATTTTCGTATAGTATTTATCGTTGTATTTGCATTTTCATGGTCTTAGGTGATAAAATGGAAAACATATTACAGAAATAGAGATGATTTTCATTACTTTGACGATGAAAACAACCTTGAAAATGAGCTCAAAGTAGCGGAAATGTTTGATTTTTACCAATGTTCAGGAGTAAATAAATAACACCACACGTCCAATACACGTCAACTGGGGAGTCTAATATTCTTTCACTAGTGCACTGATATTATTTATACTATTTTTACAATAATGCAGTAGTCTGCATAACAGTAAATTTTGTATTTTTTTGTATGAATAAAAAATCAAAATAGAAAGCAATAATAATATAAGAGGGGCCTAGAGATGTGACTAGTGAACAGAGGATATGATATTTTAGTGCCAAGAATGTCTACCTTGTTTATTCTGGACCCTATTTTGAAATTGGCATCTTTTTCAATTTGCGTGAAATTGGCCAAATTGCCAATTTCTGACCACTATATTGGGTAGTTCAAATTGGTAAATGGGCAGTTTCTTCTACTCAGCTGATAGATAAAATGGAGTTCTAAAGAAATAGCTATAAGTTTGGTCAACTGGAACAATGGAATTGGCTGAAAACAGGGCTGAAAGTCGGCGAAATCGCTGATACGCATATGTCGCCGAGACCGTTAACTTCGCGGGAGTGTAATTCCGTGAGTTTTCGACCAAATTTCGAACTTTTGGTGTCATTACCATCGGGAAAAGATTCTCTATCATTTCATAAGAAATTTTTTTTTTTCAAGAATTTATCAACATAGAATGACAGTTTCAGAAAGGGGCCTGCGACAGTCAAAGGGTTAAAGCAAGAGGCTTACGACTTCTCTTTTTATCACAGCTAACCTTAGATGCCATCGTCAATGAGAGCCAACTAGTTAACGAAAGAGTAAACGAGAGTGAGAACGAGATACAGAGTTGAGACAATGTAAGAACACAAACTGAACAGGTAGTGGACGATCACTTGGTCAGGCGAAATAAATGCGTATTAATATGTGTCTACTTTTAGTTCATTCACGTCCATTTGTAAGAGTTTGTAAAACATTTACGTCAATATTTTTTTTATTATAATAATAATTACCTCACAATACAAATACTCTTACATTGTGTACAAGTTGTACAAGTTAGTTCAGAATAAACAAACAGCAACACACCATTTTTAGAGTGAATGAAGATGATAATAATAATAATAATAATAATAATAATAAAAATAATAATATTAATATTAATATTATTATTATTATTATTATTATTATAAAAAGCACTAAACCCACAAGGGTCGTGAATTGCTATACAGTGGACCCCCGCATAATGCTATTAATCCGTTCCTGAGAGCTCAATGTTATGCGAAATTATCGTTATGCGAATTAATTTTCCCCATAAGAAATAATGGAAATCAAATTAATCCGTGCAAGACACCCAAAAGTATGAAAAAAAAATTTTTACCACATGAAATATTAATTTTAATACACACAAACTTAAGAAAACATGCACAGTTACATGACACTTACCTTTATTGAAGATGTGGTGATGATTGATGGGATGGGAGGAGGGAAGACTGGATGGTTTTAGTGTTTAGAAGGGGAATCCCCTTCCATTAGGACTTGAGGTGTCAAGTCCTTTTCCGGGGTTGCTTCCCTTCTTCTTTTAATGCCACTAGGACCAGCTTCAGTCACTGAACTTCTGTTGCACAACATATCTGTCCATAGTGGCCTGTACCTCTCGTTCCTTTATGACTTTCCTAAAGTGTTTCACAACAGTGTCAGTGTAATAGTCACCAGCACGGCTTGCAATAGCTGTCTGAGGGTGATTATTTTCATCCATGAAGGTTTGCACTTCAAGCCACTTTGCACAGATTTCCTTAATCTTTGAAGTAGGCAACTTCTTCAATTTCTCTCTCCCCTCCTCCGAAGCCAATTTCCTCAGGTCTGGCCTCTTGCTGTTGAAGTTGATCTAGCAGCTCATCAGTGGTTAGTTCTTCATTGTCCTCCTCCACCAACTCTTCCACATCCTTCCCACTAACCTCCAACCCCAAGGACTTCCCCAATGCCACAATGGATTCCTCAACTGGCAAACTCCTCTCAGGGTTTAGCCTCAAATCCTTCAAAATCCCTTTGGTCTACACATTCTGGCCACAGTTTCTTCCAAGCAGAGTTCAAGGTCCTCTTAGTCACTCCCTCCCAAGCATTACCTATAAGGTTTACACAATTGAGGATGGTAAAGTGATCTTAAACACTTGTTCATTTTTCAGTCCTTCACTGTCTATGTACTCCTTGAATTCATGCACATATTTTTCAGCTGCTTTTTGGTCCGAACTGGCAGCCTCACCATGCCTTATCACACTATGTATGCCACTACACCTCTTAAATCTCTCAAACCAACCTTTGCTGGCCTTACATTCACTCGCATCACAACTAGTTGCAGGCATTTTTCTAATTAAATCCTCGTGCAACTTCCTAGCCTTTTCACTTATAATCGCTTGAGAGATGCTATCGCCTGCTATCTGTTTTTCGTTTATCCATACCAATAACAGTCTCTCAACATCATCTATCACTTGCGATCTCTGTTTCAAAAGCACAGTTAAACCTTTGGCAAGAACAGCTTCCTTGATTGCCGTTCTCTTGGACACAATAGTAGCGATGGTTGATTGGGGTTTACTATACAACCTGGCCAGCTCGGAGACACACACTCCACTTTCATACTTAGCAATGATCTCTTTCTTCATCTCCATAGTAATTTTCACCCTTATTCCTGTAGGGTTGGCACTAGAAGCTTTCTTGGGGCCCATGGTCACTTATTTTTCAGGTGAAATCACTATAAAAAGGCTGTAATAATACGAAATGTTCCGATTGTATGCTTGAATGTTACAGTGGAGGCTGGCTTGTAAACAATGCCACTGGCAGAACAAGTGAGGCTGGCTCAGGCCGCATGGACGCGTCTCGGATGAATCGCGTTGAGCAAATGTTTTAGCGCTATGCGAGGCAAAATTTTAGCGATAAAATGTATCGCTATGCGGATTTAACGCTATGCGATGCCAACGTTATGCGGGGGTCCACTGTATATAGAGTAAAGGTATACGAAAAGAATATTTTTCTACAGTTATCCCCCAGTTTGACTAGAGAAAACGTAATTCTTCCGACACTACCTACACAGCTGCTAGGTAAAAAAATCTCATATTTACGTCAATTTTTATTCTGTGAGTGTATGTATCATGTTCATATGCTATGTAATGGGTTTCATATATAATTTTGAGGAATATATCATAGATGGATTAATGAAAATGCCTATATTGATGTAAAATAAGACATTTAGTGTGCCAAAGAGTGGTTATTATTACGTAGTATTGGCGTCATGAGTAGAGAGAGACAGTGATTTTAATGTGTACCTGCACACCAGCACAGTGTGTAAGTATATTTAAGTACAGGTAACTTAAGTATAATTAATCAGAGTACATATAAAATATGCAGTAACTTTAAAACATTTGAAATTTTGGAAATTTTCCTGACATAATAGATGAGGTCACGGAAAATGTAAACAAACCAGGTGGGGGGGCGCCGTATTTGAAAGACCGCTTGCCGTATAGCAAATTTTGGTCATAATTTGACATTCGCCGTATTAGTGGAACGCCATAAGGCAAAACGCCGTAAAGCGGGGCCTTACTGTAGTATGAACGCATGGGATCGTCCTCGCTGGCTGATAAATAATGGCACACTGGCTGTAAATGGTGAGTCGGACTGCTCGGGCCGTGCGGACACGTTCTGGACGAGGGACTAATACCAAGTTCAATGACAATCACAGAGCCAACATTTTGACGAAAAAACGTTACTAATTCCGAATATTACGAATTCCGATGACGACATAATCCGGGGGTCCACTGTACTAGTTGGAAACTAAAAAGTGAAAATAAAATACATGTACATACATTAAGTTGCATTTCTTTTTGTTTTATTGTGCAAAATCTATTAATGTATAGATTTTTTTTGCAGCTACTGTATATTTAAATTATGTGAATAGGAACTTCTCTAGCAAGTAAACACAGTATTCAACTTGAGGGAGCTCTGAAGCAAGCCAATCATAATGGAGCAGGAAATAATGAACTGACTCTGCATTCTTTCCTCCAACTAAGATTGTGGGGTCACCAATAATATAAGCAGAGACAAGGTGCCCTGTGCTGGCAGATGTTAACTGCTATCTTTATTCTGTTATTGGTAGTTAATTATTCATAAAGATGTGGTAACTAAAATTAGGTGAGGTTAATCTAATTTGACTTATGATATCTAACAGATAATTTTTTGTTACTTCGATATGAGGTAATGCACTGTAGCATCTCAAAGACCTAAATTAACCTACATTTATGTATAACTAACCACCAATAATGAAATTGAATATATAGGCACCTTATGTCTGGTAGCACAGGAGACACTGTCATTGCCTAAATTGCTGGCAACCTCATGGGCTCTGTTTAAGTTAAACACTCTGACTCCTGGGTGCAGGATTCAAAAACAAATAGGATACAATATGAATATTATAACACTTACCAAAGATACCCTTTTAGGAACACCCAAGTTCACACTCTGACTGCTATGAGCATTTGCGTCGCTCAGTAAACTTGTCTTTCTTAACACAGCTTCAAAGGCTTGTCGTAGTCTGTCATAACATAGAAAATAATACTCGTTAAGTACTAGTAAAAAGTTGTCTATAATTTTATACTTCTATTGTTCTCTAAATTTTAATTTAAAATACAGATCTGGAAGGTATTTTAAAAGATGAATAGTGCAGTATCTCCCCTGTTAACCCCCCCCCCCCAAAAAAAAAAAAAAAAAAAAGTTTCACTGGAAAGTTTTTCCCCATTTTAACTCCAGCTAGTCACCTATTCATCTTTAATAGGATAATTCTTCTTTTACTTACTTGGAGTCCCCAGCATGGACAGTAGCATAAGGGGTGTGCTGTGGGGATGCAATGGGTGAAGAGGTTGCTGGGTGAAGAATAAAACTATTTGTCTTTTTCAAAATAGATTTCCGTGGCAGGGTATTTCTCTGAGGTGTCTGCTCATTGTCTAGTTCAAGGTCTGAGACAGCTGGAATCTGCAAAGTTAATGTACAGATAACTGATGGATGAACAGTGTTCAGGTATGAAGGAACAAATGCAGTTACACATGCCAATGACCAACCCTGTGCTGCTGTACGTCTTAGGACTAACCTTGTACTACCGACACTAACAATGCTCTTTTCTGTCACATCAAAGATCATAGCCATCCTATTGACTGGTCTTCTGCTAAAACTGTCTTCCCTACTTCCAACTCGAATAGTCGCCATCTAGTTGAATCCTCTCTAATACACAACTTTCCTTGTATGAACCTTAGCCCTGGCTTCGTCTCTGTAGATGCCTTCCTCTCCCACTACATTATAAAATGCTCCAAACTTCAGAACACCCGTGACTTAACCTGACTCCTCATTTTTTCTTTTTCTTCTTCTCCCTCTTCCCCTTTCCTCTTTCCTTTTCTCCTCTGGGTTGTCTTTCTCTCTTCTGTCTCGTGTTTCTGTTCCTTCTTCATTTATTTCACCACTTCCCCTTTCACGCACCTCTGTGCGCTTGCTCTCCCTCAGTGGGCACCTAGCTCTCTTGCAGTGCTCCCCTTCCTTTGTATTTGACTGGCTCGTCCTCCTTATTTCCCACTTCTACCACTACCACTACTACTACCTCTTCTACTACTACTACTACTACAACTACTGATGAAATTAAGACACATGTGCGGCATCTCGTTGTCTTTGTTGTGGACGTTTCGCCATCCAGTGGCTGGCTGGATGGCGAAACGTCTATGATAGGGATGCCCGGGTGTTGCGCATGTGCCTTAATTTCATCTTGTCGGTATTATATACCATTCTTGTACTACTACTACTACCACCACCTCTTCCTGCCTATATATAGCCGTCCTGCTCCACTTCTGGTTAGTGTGACTTTGTCAATGGTCCAAGTCGGACCGAAACGTCGTCGTAAGCTTCTCTCTTTTATGTGCGGGTTATTTGTGTATCGTTCCAGTCACGGTATTGTGCCTTTTTTGTTATTTACTACTGTACATCTTACAACCTAATCTGCTACATTATTACTGTACATCATACAACCTACCCTGCTACAGTACTACTGTACATCTTACAACCTACCCTGCTACAGTACTACTGTACATCATACAACCTACCCTGCTACAGTACTACTGTACATCATACAACCTACCCTGCTACAGTACTACTGTACATCATACAACCTACCCTGCTACAGTACTACTGTACATCTTACAACCTACCCTGCTACAGTAATACTGTACATTATACAACCTACTCTGCTACAGTACTATTGTACATTTTATAACCTACCCTGCTACAGGACATCATACAACTTACCCTGCTACAGTAATACTGTACATCATACAACCTACCCTGCTACAGTACTACTGTACATCACAACCTACCCTGCTACAGTATTACTGTACATCTTATGATCTACCCTGCTACAGTACAACTATGTATCATACAACCTACCATGCTACAATATTACTGCACATCTTAGAACCAACCCTGCTACAGTATATCTTATGACCTACTCTGCTACAGTACTTCTGTAAATCATAGAACCTACTCTGCTAAAGTATTACTGTACATATTTTGACCTACCTTGCTACAGTACAGTATTACTGTACATCTTATGACCTACCCTGCTACAGTATTACTGTACATCATATGATCTACCCTGCTACAGTATTACTGTACACTTTATGATCTGCCCTGCTACAGTATTACTGTATATCTTATGACCTACCCTGTTACAGTATTACTGTATATCTTATGACCTACCCTGCTACAGTATTACTGTACATCTTATGACCTACCCTGCTACAGTATTACTGTACATCTTATGATCTACCCTGCTACAGTATTACTGTACATCTTATGACCTACCCTGCTACAGTATTACTGTACATCTTATGATTTACCCTGCTACAGTATTACTGTACATCTTATGATCTACCCTGCTACAGTATTACTGTACATCTTATGATTTACCCTGCTATTACTGTATATCTTATGACCTACCCTGCTACAGTATTACTGTACATCTTATGACATCCCTTGATGTTAGTACTTTCCCAATGATGTGGTTTTCCCTGCTCATCACTTACTTCTAATGGGTCAATCTGCAGGGTGACCGAAGATGAATTTTCTTTAGAGGGAGTTTCAACCTTTGTGACCTCAAATCTAGAAGGTCTTCGTTCTTGATTTTTTGAATTCTCCACTATGTCTGTAGTGACAACAGGGAGTTGAGTGAGAGTACTGGTGGGTATGGTAGAGGCGATATTGCCAGTGGTGGAAGCTGGATTTGAAACTGTTGGTGCCGTTGGAAGTGTTGATGGCATCAATAACGAATCTTTCTCTTCTGATAATACAAACGTGAGTATTCGTTAATTAAAAATACAAATTATGGTTTCTTGTCATTTGAATAATATTTTGGGAGAAATGAATACTTCCCTGTAGATTATTAACTTGTCTGATTATTGAGGAAAATAGAGATAGACAGTATAATAACCTATGTGATATATCAAGATATTTTATTAACCCTTTAAGGGTCCATCCCATAGTTCTAACTAAGGCTTTGAAGCCAGGGTCCAAGCCGTAATACTATGTCATGAGCTCAGCTCACTCAGATAAGCTGTGAGCAGTAAATCTGGCCTAGATATGAGCAAATGCATCTATATGGTAAGTATGCACCATATAAAACAAATCCTGCAGCACGCAGTGCATAATGAGAAAAAAACTGCGACCGTATTTTTGGATTAAAACAGCGATTTTGTGGTGCATTTTCACATGGTTTTTATGGTTGTATTCATGGTTTCTTGGTCTCATTTGATACAATGCAAGATATGTTACAGAAATAGAGATGATTTTGATTGGTTTTAGTATTGAAAATAGCTTATCAAAGTAGTGAAAATGTTCGATTTTTGCTGATGTTCAAGAGTAAATAAATCACGTCACACATCCAATACACATCAGCTGGTGGGTCTAATATACATTTACAAATGCGCTGATATTATTTATACAATTATTACAATATTGCATAACACTAAATCTTCTATTTTTTGGTGTGAATAAAAAATCAATATGGAATTCATCTCTAAAGCCTCGAAACATAACTAATAAACAGAGGAAATGTTATTTTAGTGCCTGCAGTGTTTATTCTGGACCCTATTTTGAAATTGGAATACACGTGTATTGTGAACTTTGTTTGAAATTGGCCAAATTACCAATTTCTGATCACTTTATTGGCAGTTTCTTGTGCTCAATTGATAAAATAGAAGTGATACTAATGAAATAGCAAAAATTTGGTTGACTAAAATGATGTAATTCGCCTAAAATAGAAATCAAAGTGGGCAAAATCGTAAGCTATCATATGCTATCATGAATTCTGCCACGTCAGCAGAATTCATGATAGCGTAATTTCGTCAGTGTTCCATCAAATTTTGTACTTTGTTTTATTACCTTCAGATAAAGATTCTCTACCATTTCATAAGAAAAACAACAATTTTTTTTTTTAAATTCTTGGACCCTGTTGACAAGTTTCAGATTGAGAATCTAGACCTGAAAGGGTTAATGAAAATAACATAACATGCATATTAAGCAGATTTCCTAATTTGCTTAATATGTGAATTGTAGATAAAAATCCAGATGTACTCCTATAAACCCTTTTGGTATTCCATTGTTATTCTGTGGTGTTTGTAAAATATTTTCATTGAAAATAAGCAATAAGTAGTGATCCAAACAAGCCTAAAAGAAAAGCAGTGAGAACAACAATTCAAGAGGGAAAGCGGAACACATGTGTCGGACCTGGCCACTCAATATGGTATGGCGAAATCCATCATATCATCCATATTGAAAAACAGAGACATTAAGAGGAGCTGATGTAACAAAAGGAGTGAAAGTTCTTGCTGTGAAAAGGTCACAGATAATTGAAGAAATGGAAGTTTCATTCAGGACAATGAACTCTGCCTGGAAGAAATTGTGGCCAGACTGTGTGTCAGTCAAAGATCTTGAAGGCTTTGAGGCAGAGCCTGTAGTGAGGGATATTGTTTCTCTGGTCCAGTCCATGGGTTTGGAAATGGACGATGAGAATGTAGAGGAACTGTGAAGGATTATATGAATGAGGTCACCACAGAAGAACTTCAAGACCTGCACAAGGAGCAGCAAGAAGTGGTTGAAGAAACTTCTTCTTCAGAGAAGGGAAGCAGTAAGGGCAACATTTCCACTGCAGAAATTAAGGAACTGTGTTACCACTGGACTCAAACACAGAGCCTGGTGGAAAAATGGCATCCTAAGATTACTGCTGTGCAAAGGAGCATCAACCTGTTCAATGACAATGTCGTTGACCACTTTAGAAAAGTTTTGGAAAATCATCTAAAGCAGACATTGGACAGCTTCTTTAGCAAAGAAAGATGAATCCCCATCATCTTCAAGTGCTACTGCACAGAGACAGAAAAGAGAAAAAACACTAGATGGGCAGTTGCCTGATGTTTTTATGGAAGGTGACACCCTTTCCAAATACTAATAACATCTCCCCACCTTCCTCTTAGGCCATCAGCACTCCCCAGTAAAGGTAAAGTGCAGTTAAATTTTCATTTATTTCATGTACTAACTGTTTTTTATAGTTTTCATGCCTGATTTTATGCATGCAAATATTATTATACAGGTTTAAATAAACAATATTTTCACATAAAATGCTTTATAACTGGTAATTTTTTGGAGTCTGGAATGGATTAATCCAATTTACATTATTTCTATGAGAAAAATTGATTCAATATTTGTACAATTCACTATTCGCACAGCCTCCTGGAACAGATAAAGTTTGAATATTAAGATACCACTATCATGCAGTCTTAACCCTTTCAGGGTTTCGGCCGTACTAGTACGGCTTATGAGCCAGGGTTTTTGACATACTAGAACGCCTAAATTCTAGCGCCCTCAAATCTAGTGAGAGAAAGCTGGTAGGCCTACATATGAAAGAATGGGTCTATGTGGTCAGTGTGCATGGTATAAAAAAAATCCTGCAGCACACAGTGTGTAATGAGAAAAAAAAAACCTGACCATGTTTTTGGATTAAAACAGCGGCTTTGCACTGTATTTTCGTATGGTATTTATCGTTGTATTCTAGTTTTCCTGGTCTCATTTTATAGAATGGAAGACATATTGAGATGATTTTGACTGGTTTTACAAAGAAAAGTACCTTGAAATTGAGCTCAAAGTAGCAGAAATGTTCGATTTTTACCAAAGTTCAAAAGTAAACAAATCATGCTATGTGTCCAATACACGTCAACTGGTGAGTCTAATATTCTTTCACAAGTGCGCTGATATTATTTATACCATTTCTCCACCAATGCAGTAGTCTGCATAACAGTAAATCTTCTATTTTTTTGTGAGAATAAAAATTCAAAGTGGAAAGCAAAAGAATGTAAGAGGGGCCTGGGGACGTGACTAATGAACAGAGGAAATGTTATTTTAGTGCCAGGAATGTCTTTCTTGTTTATTCTGGAACCTATTCGGAAATTGGCATCTTTTGAAATTTGTGTGAAATTGGCAAAATTGCTAAATTCTGACCACCGTATTGGATAGTTGAAATCGGTAAATGGGTGGTTTCTTGTACTCATTCGATAGAAAAAATGGAGTTCAAGCAAAACAGTTATGATTTTTGTTGACAAGTTACTGGAATTGGCCGAAAATAGGGCTCAAAGTGGGCAAAATCGCTGATGCGTAAACATCGTTGAGACCAGTAACTTCGCGAGAGCATAATTCCTTAGGTTTTCCATCAAATTTCATACTTTTGGTGTCATTATGATTGGGAAAAGATTCTCTATCTTTTCATACGAAAAATAATTTTTTTTTTTTTGAAATTTGGCCGACCCTAAGAACAAGTCTCTGAGAGGGCCTGTCGACCCTGAAAGGGTTAATGATCCCCCTTATAATTAATAGGCTTTAAACCTACCAAACCAACATTCAATTTTTTGCACTGTCAAGAAACTGCCTTGCTACAGAACTGATGGAGAGGGCACAAAAGTCAACCTAACATATCAAATCAAATTAAGTTTATTCTCTAAAGTGATTACAATGCAGGGTTTACATATTATAGGATATTGTGTGATTTACATAATATAAAATACTAATTACAGAGAGAGCCACTATCACACCTAGCATGACTAGGCATTTTGGGCAGACTAAGATTAATTCAAAACTCTATATTGGTACAGATTTCGGAGCATAGTGGTATTACGGCTAAGTACATGTAATTGCATTACAGTTTGTAAATTTAGCAATGTGAATGGTTTTGTTTTGGTACAATACATAGTTTCTATATTGGAGTATCACAGGCAAACTTATGACTAGTTCAGATTCATTAGGTAATAGTTGTATGTATTATGTATTTCTATGTTTATAGTCAATTGGATGAGTGTAAGTGCAAATTGTGGGGAAACACAGACATCGAGGGGAGGTCTAGGTTGTTTTTTATGTGTGTACGATAAAAGATAATAGGCGGTTTTCATGTAGTTAGCTGACGGTGGGGTGTGTCAGGGAGATAAGATGTTTTCTAACAGTAGTTCTGAAAGTGATGAATGTGTCTACAGTTCTAGAGTTTTCAGGTAGGGTGTTCCAGATTTTAGGCCCTTTTATGTACATCAAATTTTTTTATAGGTTTAGGTGGACACGGGGAATGTCATGGAGATGTTTGTGTCTGGTGTTATGCCTGTGGGCCCTGTCACAACTGTCAAGAAAGTGTTTTAGGTCAGGATTAATATTGGAATTTAAGGTTCTGTAAATGTAGGTTGCACAGTAGTAAGTATGGATGTTCTGAACAGAGAGCAAGATTAGATCTATGAAGAGTGGGAGGGTGTGTTGCCTGGGATTGGACTGCACGATTATTCTTACTGCGGCTTTTTGTTGGGTTATTATTGGCTTTAGGTGTGTTGCTGCAATTGATCCCCAAGCACAAATAGCATAGGTGAGGAAGGGATAAATGAGTGAATGGTATAGTGTAAGAAGGGCAGATTGTGGCACGTAGTAACATATCTTGGAGAGGATCCTAACCGTTTTGGACACTTTTTTTGTTATGCGTTGGATGTGGGTGTTGAAATTCAGGTTGCTGTTGAGGTGCAGGCCTAGGAATTCGCCCTCATAATGTCTGGCAATAAAAGTGTTGTTGATCTTAATGTTAAGTTGTGCAACACCTGCTCTGTTACCAAACATAATACAGAAGGTTTTGTCAGTGTTAAGTGAAAGTTTATTGGCTGTCATCCAAGTAGATATTTTGAGTAGCTCCTCATTAACAATGGTGTTGAGGGTGGCAAGATTTGGGTGGGAGATGACATAAGTCGTGCCATCAGCAAAGAGAATGGGTTTCAGGTGTTGTGATACGTTGGGAAGATCACTGATGTATAAGAGGAAGAGCAGGGGACCAAGGACACTTCCCTGTGGTACTCCAGTGTCAAGTAGCCGTACTGATGAGGTTGTGTCTTTAATGGTGACATACTGCTACCTATTAGTAAGGTAGGATTTGAAATATGCAAGTGCATGACGTCTTATGCCATAATGGTCAAGTTCATGGAGTAAGATGCCATGATCTACTGTGTCAAAAGCTTTTCTTAGGTCAATAAAAAGTCTTAATGGATATTCCTTATTTTTCAGTGCTGTGTAAAGCAGATCTAGCATTTTTACAATTGCATCATTAGTGCTTTTATTTTATTTACATTGAAGCATATATGTGAACAGTATTTAGATAAAGGTAGGGAAGTTGTCAATGCATTTATGGATTTAGAAAAGGCATATGACAGAGTGGATAGGGGAGCAATGTGGCACGTGTTGCAAGTGTATGGAATAGGTAGTGAGTTACTAAATGCTGTAAAGAGTTTTTATGAGGATAGTGAGGCTCAGGTTAGGGTGTGTAGGAGAGAGGGAGATTACTTCTCAGTAAAAGTGGATCTTAGACAGGGATGTGTAATGTCACCATGGTTGTTTAACATATTTATAGATGGGGTTGTAAAAGAAGTAAATGCTAGGGTGTTGGGGAGAAGGGTGGGATTAAATTATGGGGAATCAAATACAAAATGAGAGTTGACAGTTACTTTTTGCTGATGATACTGTGCTTTTGGGAGATTCTAGAGAAAAGTTACAAAGTTAGTGGACGAGTTTGGGAGGGTGAGTAAAGGTAGAAAGTTGAAAGTGAACATAGATAAGAGTAAGGTGATGAGGGTATCAAATGATTTAGATAAACAAAAATGGATATCACATTGGAGAGAAGGAGTATGGAAGAAGTGAATGTTTTCAGATATTATGAGTTGATGTGTCAGAGGATGGGTTTATGAAGGATGAGATTAACCATAGAATTGATGAGGGAAAAACAATGAGTGGTGCATTGAGGTATATGTGGAGACAAAAAATGTTATCAATGGAGGCAAAGAATGGAATGTATGAAAGTATAGTGGTACCAACACTCTTATATGGGTGTGAAGCTTGGGTTGTAAATGCTGCAGCAAGGAGGCGGTTGGAGGCAGTGGAGATAATCCTGTCTAAGGGCAATGTGTGGTTTAAATATTATGCTGAGAATTCGAAGTGTGGAAATTAGGAGGTGTGGAGCTAATAAAAGTATTAGTCAGAGGGCTGAAGAGGGGTTGTTGAGGTGGTCTGGCCATTTAGAGAGAATGGATCAAAGTAGAATGACACGGAGAGCGTATAAATCTGTAGGGAGAGGAAGGCGGGGTAGGGGTCATCCTCGAAAAGGTTGGAGGGAGGGGGTAAAGGAGATTTTGTGGGTGAGGGGCTTGGACTTCCAGCAAGCATTCATGAGTGTGTTAGATAGGAGTGAATGGAGACGAATGGTTTTTGGGACCTGATGAGCTGTTGGAGTGTGAGCAGGGTAATATTTGGTGAAGGGATTCAGGGAAACCGGTTTTTTTTATATAGCCGGACTTGAGATCTGGAAATAGGAAGTACAATGCCTGCAATTTAAAGGAGGAGTTTGTGATATTGGCAGTTTGGAGGGAGATGTAATAGGATGGTATATATATAAATGGGGCCTTGATGTTATATTCTATGGGGAGTTTATTATATTATTTCAGGTCAGTTTTTATGCTGTATCTTTTTATATGCTTCTAAACTGTTGTATCTGGGCACCTCTGCAAAAATAGTGATTATGTATGAGTGAGGTGAAAGTGTTGAATGATGATTAAAGTATTTTTGTTTTGGGGATTTTCTTTCTTGTTGGGTCACCCTGCCTAAGAGGGAGATGGCCGACTTGGCGAAAAAAAAAAAATGTTAGATAGGAGTGAATAGAGACAAATGGTTTTTGGGACCTGATGAACTGCTGGAGTGTGAGCAGGGTAATATTTTGTGAAGGGATTCGTGGAAATTGGTTACCTGGACTTGTCCTGGAAATGGAAAATACAGTGCCTGCACTTTAAAGGAGGGGTTTGGGTTATTGGCAGTTTGGAGTGACTATCTAAACTGTCATATCTGGGCACATCTGCAAAAATGTGATTATGAATGAGTGGTGGTTAAATTGTTGACTGATAATGAAAGTTTTTTTTCTTTCTTTTTGGGGTTTTTTGTTTGGGTCACCCTGCCTTGGTGGGAGATGGCCAACATATTAAAAAAGTATATAACAACAAAAATAATATGATAATAATAATGATTGCCTTCCATTCTCCAGGTGCTATATGACCCCTGTGAGTCTTTTGCTTTTACAGGTTTATAGTAATTTAAAGCACTGCATTACAGCCAACATACCTTCACCCACTCCAGCCACCATTGATAAGCTTGGTGAGGGTAATGGAGTTGATTTCATTTTTCTTGCCTCTGCTATGTCAAGTAGCCTCTGCTTTGTCTTTTTCCTTTCCTCTTGTGTGTTGTTTGGCTCCTTCTGTAGCTGCTCAGCCTCAAGAACTCTATAAACATGTAAGACATAAGAGTTACAATGTTCTGATTATCATTATAATCATCAATGTGTTAAATTCTTATGAGTCATGACAGTCTTCCTGACAATGCTTCATCCTAGGTAATACACATTATTCTCATTTTAAAATTATTACTTTCTTCAGCAATTATCAAAACTAAGTTTAAGGGTTAGTGTCATTTATAAGTTACAACAAAATCCATAAGAAATAAGCAATAAAATTAATACTGTTTAATCATAAGCTTTAGGAACCCGATGTAAAAATTGCAATATATAGTGGACTCTCATAGGTCACAGGGATTAAGTTCTTAAAATCAGTGCTACATGTGAAATAGTTACTTAAAGTTTGAATAATACATTGGAAAGTAGGATTGCACTCCTGACTTCTTCAAAAACACTAAACAACTTCTTTTAATTTCTTATTTTGTAAAAAATAACAGGTTTTGATACCTTACATTGGAGATGTTGTTTGTTGATCTAGAAGTGTGTCTTGGGGGCATACAGATATTCTGGCCAAAGTACATTTTGTAATTATGTATATTTAATCTAGGATAGCCCAATAAAGTCAATTTGAATGTTTATGCAACTAAAAAGATTATATAACACTCATTTTCCACCTTAAATTTGATGTAGACAGTCACATAAGAGTACATGTAGCTAAAAACATTACAAAAAGCAATTTTTCATATTGTATCTAAAATTCTGGTTGCTAATGAACATTGACCTTGATGTCAGTGGAGTGGGTTGTCGTGGCCCTACTGGGTCAAGGTAGATAGCTGTTGTTAGAGGACTATAGTGGATGGCTGTGGTTCTCAGGCCGAGGTCGACACAAAATTGTTACTTATGGAGTCCTCAGCTATACTGTCATGTATCTCTGCTGTCCTATCACCACTTTAACCCTTAAACTGTCCAAACGTAGATCTACGTCCATGTGCGGGGGGCTCCGAACGTAGATCTACGTTTTTTTACATGCTTTCAAATGGGGAAAATCAAGGTCGGAGTGCTACGCATGTGAACGTAGATCTATGTTTGGACAGTTTAAGGGTTAAGCAGCCTTCACTTACTGGTGATATGGACACTTGATCCCAAGCAACTTTTAAGTTGGTTATTGTATTTGCAATGTTAAATTCATGTCAGAATTCTAGTACTCCAGGGAGAGTTGTCATTTACTGCTGCAAGGAGTTTCTGCACCACCCTGAATGTAGTAGCTCTTAAAATGTCATAATCACTCCTCCATCTATTGATTTTATCAACGATATTGTATTTGGTGGTACAAATACAATCCTCATACTGCTGGGCTTGAGGATGACCATGAAAATTATCAAGAGTGAGGATAATCTTAAATAAGTGTTTTATTGTAAGGTACATCTTGGCTAAGAGAATAAAATAATGCTTGCTCACTTGATAAACAAAGCCTCACTCATCCATTTTTATCTAGCCATACTGCCAAATAACAGGCAAAGCATTTTCGTCTTTACCTCTTAAAACACTGGGACTCTGGGAGTGATAAATGAATATAGGATTGTACTTAAAATCACCTGATGCAGAGCACACAGGCAAGCTAAAACAATCCTTCACTGCCTTAAATCCAGGTGAAGTTTTATTGCTTACTGAAGCAAGTTCTAGACTGAACTTCCTCAAGAATATTCAATGTCTCATCAGCATTAAACACTTGTTCAGGCTTATAGCTATGGAGAGGAAATATTCACTGCACACCAAAAAGGTTTTCCCTCACAATGTACTGCATGTCATTCAAAATTTAAATAGCGAGTTGTTAAAAATGTAAGTTATGGCTGTGAAAATTATGAAAGTCTATTGTATTTTTATTTCTAAAGAATAAATATATTAAAAATTACAGCTAAACTTGTGATTTTCACAAAAAAAATATATTACATCTCTATTCTAAGTAAAATATCTATACATACATTTTCATGCAAAATATCTACTCAAAACATAGTGCACAATAAATGATATAAAATTAAATTTCCTACCACAGCAAATAATCTAAAATGTCTAGCTTAGTAAAATAAGCCCATTTATCTAGAAGACATAATAATCTACAGCTTTTAATTTCCATCTACAATAAGACAAGCACTTGTAATTCATGGCCACCTACCCACAGAATGTATTGCGTCTCTGGATCATTGGCACTTGACTGACCAGATGAAATAAAAGCACAGTACATATGTATTCAAATAATCACACTAGATTTCAATAGCACAAGTTTCAGCAACTCTTGATTTAATGGACTTTGGAAATAGAGAACAAAATCTATTGTGCCAAGTGATTTGGAAACAATGCTGTGCACAGAAATGCCAGTTATTCTTACAATCAAGGCAGTCTCGTCCCTGTCCACCACAACTGCCACTTCCGGCCACTCACATTTTTCCTATTAGTCCATTAAATCGAGGATTTTCTGTATTAAGTAGGAACTGTATACAGTGGACCCCCGGTATACGATATTAATTCATTCCTGAGAGCTCATCGTATGCCAAAATTATCGGAAGGCGAATTAATTTTCCCCATAAGAAATAATGGAAATCAAATCAATCCGTGCAAGACACCCAAAAGTATGAAAAAAAAAATTTTATCACATGAAATATTAAGTTTAATGCACACAAACTGAAGAAGACATGCACAGTTTGTAGTACTCTACTAACAATAGAATACATGACACTTACCTTTAATGAAGATCTGGTGATGATTGATGGGATGGGAGGAGGGGAGAGTGTCGAACTTATTGTTTGGAAGGAGAATCCCCTTCCATTAGGACTTGAGGTAGCAAGTCCTTTTCCAGGGTTACTTCCCTTCTTCTTTTAATGCCACTAGGACCAGCTTGAGTCAGTGGACTTCTGTCGCACAACATATCTGTCCATAGAGGCCTGTGCCTCTCGTTCCTTTACGACTTTTCTAAAGTGGTTCACAACATTGTCATTGTAATAGTCACCAGCACGGCTTGCAATAGCTGTGTGAGGGTGATTGCCATCCATAAAGGTTTTCACCTTTGTCCACATTGTACACATTTCTTTAATCTGTGAAGTAGGCAACTTCTTCAATTTCTCTATCCCCTTCTCCGAAGCAGTTTCCTCAGGTCTGGCCTCTTGCTGTTGAAGATGATCAAGCAGCTCATCAGTGGTTAGTTCATCATTGTCCTCCTCCACCAACTCTTCCACATCCTCCCCACTAACCTCCAACCCCAAGGACTTCCCCAATGCCACAATGGTTTCCTCAACTGGCATAGGATTCCCAGGGTTAGCCTCAAACCCTTCAAAATCCCTTTTGTCTACACATTCTGGCCACAGTTTCTTCCAAGCAGAGTTCAAGGTCCTCTTAGTCACTCCCTCCCAAGCCTTACCTATAAGGTTTACACAATTGAGGATATTAAAGTGATCCTTCCAAAACTCTTTTAGAGTCAATCAAGTGTCTGTGGTCACTTCAAAGCACTTTTGAAACATAGCTTTTGTGTACAGTTTCTTGAAGTCGGAAATGACCTGCTGGTCCATGGGCTGCAGGAGAGGAGTGGTATTAGGAGGCAAAAACTTCACCTTAATGAAGCTCATGTCCCCAGAAAGTCGTTCTGCCAAGTCTGTAGGATGATCAGGGGCATTGTCTAATACCAGGAGGCACTTAAGGTCTAATTTCTTTTCAATTAGGTAATTTTTCACATTGGGGGCAAATGCATGGTGTAACCAGTCATAGAAAAAGTCCCTAGTGACCCATGCCTTACTGTTTGCCCTCCACAGCACACACAAATTAGCCTTGAGGATATTCTTTTGCCTGAATGCTCTGGGAGTTTCTGAGTGATACACCAATAAAGGCTTCACTTTGCAATCACCACTAGCATTGGCACACATCAGAAGAGTAAGCCTGTCTTTCATAGGCTTATGTCCTGGGAGTGCCTTTTCTTCCTGAGTAATGTAGTTCCTGCTTGGCAATTTCTTCCAAAACAGGCCTGTTTTGTCGCAATTAAACACTTGTTCAGGTTTAAATTCTTCACTGTGTATGTAATCCTTGAATTCCTTCACATATTTTTCAGCTGCTTTTTGGTCTGAACTAGCAGCCTCACCATGCCTAATCACACTATGTATGCCACTACGATTCTTAAGTCTTTCAAACCAACCTTTGCTGGCCTTAAATTCACTCACATTACCACTAGTTGCAGGCATTTTTTCAATTAAATCCTCATGCAACTTCCAAGCCTTTTCACATATGATCGCTTGAGAGATGCTATCTCCTGCTATCTGTTTTTCATTTATCCACACCAATAACAGTCTCTCAACATCTTCTAACACTTGCGATCTCTGTTTCAAAAACAAAGTTGCACCTTTTGTAACAACAGTTTCCTTGATTGCTGTTTTCCTGTCCACTACAGTAGCGATGGCTGATTGGGGTTTTGTATACAACCTGGCCAGCTCCGACACGCGCAATCCACTTTCGTACTTTGCAATTATCTCTTTTTTCATTTCAATAGTCATTAGCACCCTTTTTCTCGAAGGGTTGGCACTAGAAGCTTTCTTGGGGCCCATGGTGACTTATTTTGCAGAAACAAGCACCAAAAACACTGTGATAATATGGAATGTACCGAATGTATGCTTAGATGCGAGCACACTGGCTGGCTTGTAAACACTGGCATGCACGGGGCAGTTCAGGCCACACGTGGACACATCCTGGACGAATCGCGTGTGGCAGGTTTTTTAATGAGTGGCGAGGCAAAATTTTTGCATTAAAATGTATCGAATACCGGATTTAATGTATATCGATGCCATCGAATACCGGGGGTCCACTGTATGTACTGATATTTTTAAGTAATAAATTACGTAACATTATTGTAATAAAATACTATATGATACATTTTGTAAAAAAGAATACTGAAAAAATATCATTGAAAATAACAAGTATAATGTGAAATTATTGGTAAAATGATTGGTTATTACGTTGACGTGAATGGGTTTCGTCACATGGTGAGATGTCACAGTGAGGTGCAGGGGGAAGGAAGGAAAATATATGGGAGGCTGTAGCAACAGATGACACCACCACTGTAGTCATGACCATTTACAAGTGTGGTCAAGGTGGCCAGTTTTGAGGGCTATTAAAAAGATTTGGTGAACTATGGTTTGTATTTGCTTGCCAGGAGTGGTAAGATGTGTCTCACCATTTTAACAGGGTGTGCATAAGGGTTGATATTGGGTAGTGGAGTGTTTTTATGAGAAGTGTGTGCCAGCTGGGTGGACCAAGTTGTCAAAATGGTGGCTTAATGACAGTGTTAATATTCTTTTGGTCAGGCTTACTGAGGCTTGCAAAGATGGTGTGGTTAACATGAATTATTCTTACCTGCAAAGAAGCCTGCCATGGTATTTGTGGGTAGAGAGGCACAGTGGTGGATAACAGTGTGAGGTTACTATGTACATACTGTTATGTTAATTATAAGATTAGTTTTGTAGTAATACCTTTTATTTACCCTTCCTTATGATCAAGAAGGAATAATCCCTGTAATGATTTATTTTTTTATAAATTTGCTTATGATATGATCTGGCTTCTAGGATATTTTTTTTTATATTTCATATTTCATTTTCCCTTGACAACAGTATATTATACTCCAGAGCTTGATCCTAACATAACACAAGTAACCTAAATTCAATCACTATCACCATAGTCAATGGTAAACATAATACATATGATGCAAAATACTACTATTTGGGACTACACCAGGCCACGAGCCACCAGGCCCGTGGCCTGGTGGCAAAAGCTCTCGCTTCACATTGTGAGGGGTCCGGGCTCTATTCTTGACGAGGGTTGAAACAGTGGGTGTGTTTCCTTACACCTGCTGTCTATATTCACCCATCAGTATAAAATGGGCACCAGGGTGTTAGTTGAATAGTGTGGGTCACATCCAGGGACAAAACTGACCTAATTTGACCGAAATGCTCTGCATAACATGCTGCTTTCTATATAGTAGTGTGTCAGCCAGGTTATTATTATTAATATATGTAAGCAGTAGGTTGGTAGACAGCAACCACCCAGGGAGGTACTACCGTCCTGCCAAGTGAGTGGAAAACGAAAGCCTGTAATTGTTTTACATGATGGTAGGATTGCTGGTGTCTTTTTTCTGTCTCATAAACATGCAAGATTTCAGATATGTCTTGTTACTTCTACTTACACTTAGGTCACATTGCACATACATGTACACGTTTATGTATACACACTCATCTGAGATTTCTTTGATTTTATCTTAATAGTTCTTGTTCTTATTGCTTTTCCTTTTATATTAACGGGGAAGTGGAATAAGAATCTTTCCTCCGTAAGCCATGCGTGTTGTAAAAGGCAACTAAAATGCCGGGAACGATGGGCTATAAACCCCTTTTCCCGTATCGCCAACTAAAAAGAAAGAGAAGAAAACCGTCGAAGTGGGATGTTTGAATGTGCGTGAATGTTGTGTGAATGATAAGAAAGAGATGATTGTGGATGTTATGAATGAGAAGAAGCTGGAAATCCTGGCTTTAAGTGAAACAAAACTGAAGGGGGTGGGAGAGTTTCAGTAGGGAGAAATAAATGGGATTAGGTCAGGGGTTTCAAATAGAGTTAGACCTAAAGGAGTAGCAATAATGTTGAAGGATAAATTATGGCAGGAAAAGAGGGAATATAAATGAATTAATTCAAGGATTATGTGGAGTAAAATAATGGTTGGATGCAAAAAGTGGGTTATAGTAAGAATTTATGCACCTGGAAAAAAAGAAAAGTGTAGAAGAGAGAGAGAGATTTGGGAATGTTGAATGAGTGAGTGGGGAGTTTATGAGGTTGAGAGTAAATTTGGTTGGGATTCAAGTTAAAGTGGGTAAAAATGCCATGGAGGGGGTATAGGAAAATTAGGGGGCAGGGGTTAATGAAAAAACACAGCCTTTAATAAGCAATGTGTAGAAAGAGGTTTTTGGGAAAAGTGAATATATTTTTATGAAAAGAGGATATTATTAAGTATACAAATATGGTAAGCACTAATGGAAAGTAGTTGGTTAATTATGTACTGGTGGGTAAAAGTTGATGGTAAAGCTTCTGATTACATGTTTAAAAGAGGGGCAAAAAGATATTCAATATATATTTTATTGTAGCTACAGTTAGGGTAAGAGTAGATGGGATAAAGGAAATGGAAACAACAAGAAG